TTAGAGGTGGATTTGGACACCGGTCGTCGCGATCTTGATGTCCAGCATTTGGTTGAGCAGGAATTGGCCGAGCAAAAAGAATGGCCCAAGTGGAAGAAGGTTTACAAGTTCTTCTGTTAAGCGGATGTTTTATCTTTTTTTTCTTTCGACATCCCCCCTTATGTACTACATCTTTACGATACCATAATTGCGCTATGAATATCATACGAAACGTTCATACATTCCAAAGGGCATACCCTATTTTTAACAATTTCCAAGACACTACTCCGTACTCCATAGCACGTACTATAATCTCGAGCCTCCAGGCTTGGCATATCTGTGGGGAAGCGTTTAGACTCAGTAGTCAAGTCAGGCATCTGGGCATAACAAGGCTGACAACATAGGGGTAGGGTAGTTATACATAGTACTATTGCACTCCAGGGCTATACATCTGTATTTTCTAATACATTTTGATTGAATGTATAGTTATTATTAGCCTACCCGGCTCACAGCCACAATGCAAAGTCAATGCGCAATTCAATTGTAAACAAAAAATAGACAAGACACTCCTCCCCCTCCCCCTTTTTTTTCTCTCAGCATGAAAAAAACAGCCAAATTTAAAGATTTGCAGCAAATTACCACCCCGGCGTAATTTTCAACCCAAAAATAGCCCAAAGTGGATGCAAAGACGGTGGGGAGAGGTCGGGTTGTCAGCCAAAAGGACGCTTGTTAGGCGGTAATGGTCTGAGATGTACGCAAATCCCCGTAATATTACGAGCCACATGTGACGCCCTACGATCTGGAAATCCATGAACTCCATCAAACTCCATCTCTATCTCCATCTTCATCGTTCCCATTCGGTCTTTCTTTGTTTTTGTTGCCAGCTTCCTGACGACTTGCATCGCAATTCGCTTGGCCTGGCTTTCGCTCATTTTAGCTTCGAATTCATCCGCGATATCGGCGCCTAACACCCTGCGCACTCTATTCTCACGCATTCCAAAGCGATCGTCTCTGCTTCGTCATTGGTGTTTCGGTCTATGCGCAGCTCCGTCCCGTGTCAAGACTGGACATTGAATTCAAAACCAAGTCAACTGGTCCTCCCTCGGTGACCTTGATCATATCGCAAACTCAGAGCCTCATCGACTCCGATTGACTCTCCGTTTCGCGCTTACTCCGCCCTTTTACGATTCGCGTTTTCCTCCGAACATACGAACTCATCGCTGTCAGCTGCCGGGTCGCTTTCCCTTCTTACGCCGATCATAACGTGTCTCCGCCTGACGGTCTGAATCAGCCTTTTAGCCGTCCGTCATAATGCCTGGTTTCGCGGACTCTTTCTGGACCCCCGACTATGCTTCGGGCTTGGGGGTGCTATACGGGAAGCTGCAGCAGGGAGTTGTGGAAAACAAACAAATTTTGGCCATTGCATCCATGCGTTCAGATGCAGAAGAGCAGTATGGACTCCGCATGGGAGACATTGCCCCGAGCGTGGATAAGATGACGGCGCTGGGATTCGGCAAGGACGATGGTGCCAGTGTCAGAAAGGTTTGTTTCAGACGCATAGAGACCGGAGTGAAGAAAGACTGACGTCGCGCGATCCTCGTTACAGGCATACGAAGGAATCCGTACCGAAATGGTCGAGGCCTCCAAGAACCACCAGAAGATCGCCAACAATATCCGCGAATTGGTCGTGTCGCCCTTCCGGCGTTGGAGCGACCAACACGAAATGCGTGTTCAGTATTCGCATGACGCGCTCCAGGGCCGCATCAAGGAACACACCAAGCAGGCCGAACTGGTAAGGAAACTGCGCAGCACTTACTTCAACAAGTGTCGTGTGGTTGAGGACCTGGAAGAAGAGAACAAACTTGCTTTCCAAGATCCCGAGACGAGTCCCAAGATCAAGGTGCCCCCGAAGATCGTTCTCCCTGCCGAGGAAGAGCCCGACGAAGACCCCATCGAGTTGGGTGAGCGGATATTCCCACCAGACCACATCAAAAAACTTCTCACCCATATGCTTGATAACATCAAGCTTGGCGAGGCGAAGGTTCCCATTATCGGCACTTATCAGAATGTATCCACGGGCGCGGATATTGCGCAATATATTCAAACCTACATGGAGGCTGAGAATCTCACTCAAGTGGAGATAATTGGTCAGGATATGGTAGACAACGGTCTTCTCCGCTTGGTTGGAAATATGGGCAATGTCTTTGCCAATAGCTCCAAGATGAACTACCAGTGGCGCCCCAAGGTTTTCCAACTCACCGGTATCCCAGAAAAAAAGAAGCCTCTCATGCGTGTCACCTCAGTGGCGTCAAGCGAGGACGGCAACGGCAGCGACTCACCTATTGCATCTGTCTCCGAGATGCTGTCTGGCTGGAATCCCCTCAACAACCCTTACCCGAACGAGACACCTTCGGAGAAGCTCCGAAGGGAGGCTTTGGAAGCTGATGAACGGTACAAGGTTGCCGTTCGTAAGCTTGACCAGATCCGCTGCCGGCTGGAGGAAGAAGTCATTGGCCAGCTCAAATACATGGAACAGTGCGAGCTAGACCGTCTCAAGGCCATCAAAGCCGTGGTTCTTGACTTCTCGGGTGCGATCAGCAATGTCATTCCCAACCTGCAGAGCACAGTGGATCATATGATGCTATACCAGGAAACAATCCAGCCCCTAGGCGACTTGAGATACCTGCTAGAGAACTACCGCACAGGTGGATTCGTACCTAAGATCCAAGCATACGAGAACTACTATGGTTCCGTTGAAGGTATAGCCTTGGTCATTGCCCAGAGATGAAAAGTTACTAATTTTAACACCACCAGAACAAAACTTTGGTGTCGACCTTGAAGCTAGAGCCCGTGCTGACCGCAAACGTGTTCCAATCCTGGTGACCACCATTCTGACCTATCTCGATAACCGTAAGGAATTCATGACATACATTCAGATTCTGGACCACGCTCACAAATCTTGCAGGCTACCCTGAACTTGAAGGCGATGAAGCACGACGAATGATCTGGTTGACCGAAGTTGATTTGGGCACGACGCACAAGCTTCGTCAAATTTTGAACAACAGCAAAGCCGATTATGCCGAGGTGTTGCCTCAATTCGGAATTCCAGTTATTGCAAGCGTTCTAAGATTGTACCTTCTTGAATTGCCAGGTTCGTTGCTCTCTTGGTGGCTTGATATATCCTTATGCTAATCCCCGGATAGACTCATTGGTTTCCTCGCAAGTTTACGAGATCGTGAAAACGATTTATTCGACCACTGCTCATGAGACCACGGAAGAAGGGCGGATCAAGGTTCTCCAAAGTACCCTTGGGCAACTCCGCCTTGTCAATATCGCTACGCTTGATGCCATTATGACTCATTTCACGCGCCTGATTGATTTGACCTCGGCCGACGAAGAATACATCACTTTGTTGGCACAGGCCTTTTCTCCTTGCATTCTCCGCCCTCGCATAGAGAGCAGTCTCACTATGAACGAGCGCCACAGCTACCGTCTGATCCGTGATCTGTTTGCTCACAAGGACTCCATATTTGGCGAACTGAAACGCCAATCGAGTGCGCTCGGAATGACCAGTTCCTCCTCCAACCGTCCACGGGCCATCAGCACGGACGAGAGTAATCGTCGTGCGGCGACGGAGGCCCGCCAGCGAGCTATTGTCAACCGCAGCCGGGCAACCAGTCCTGTCAATCGCCAACGGCATCGACGTGACCGCTCGAGTGGTGCTTCCGAGATAGGTCGGTTCCCGATCAACGTCAGTAGCCCTTCAGATCGCAGATCTACCCGCGGCAGTCTTGATGTACCGCCCAACAAGGCTCTCCAGGCCGAACCTGAGGATGCTCCTACCGTGAACACCCAAGTTGCCGAGACTATTACCAACGGCACCTATACCGAGTCTCCTTCTTCAGCTGTTGCCAGCAGCAGCACCCACTCGAGCTCCCCAAGCCCTCCTCCTGTTCCTTTCGAGGACACAGCCTCCGATGACTCCCCAACTCCTACTCCTACTCCGGCTGCAACATCCGCCGAGTTTGAGAAGCGCAATTCGATGTCCCGCTCTTCTGTCGCTCGATCCAGCCGCAAGCCAGGCCTTGGTAGCTTGTCCAGCTTCCCCACTGGCTCGGCTGTCGGGGCCAGTGGCACAGAGAGCAATCGAAGCAGCATTGCCGAAAGTGAACCCAACCGAGTCACTCTGGAGGACAAGCCTATGGACGACTAGTTCTGAGGATCTGTGGATGCGGAGGAAACCTTGTACAGATCAGACTGGGAGCAGTATATCGTGCTGGGAGGAAACATGCGTTATTGCATCACATTCCACCCACATCTTTGTTGCTCCCTGATCATGGCGGAGACGACTTGGCGAGTGACAATTTGGAACGTTACCTTTATCTTTTCTTGTCTTTTGTTTCTCCTTTTGAACTTGAACTTTTACTGCATGCCTCTTAAGCATGCATGCATACATACCCTGTCCCTTCTGCTATGTTACCGCAGAAGGGATTGTTCATCTCCCTTTTACCTTGCCTATGTTACTGCTGCTGTGTTTTTGCCCCTTATGTTTCCTGATGCATTCCCTTTTTTGCCCTCGTGGTGTTATCCACTTGGTGTATGTATACCTCCTTTTTCGTGCATATGAATTTCTTTCTGTCCTATATATAGTACTACTCTAACGGTGTAGTTCTGTAGAATTTACATGGAATTCAATAGCTAAAAAGCGTTTTCATCTTCTAATCTCTTTATGCCTGAAATTACTGTCTCCACTAAAGTCTGGTCTGGATTCGGGGCAAGAACCACCGAGCTTTAGCTCTCATTGACTTGGATTTTAACATTCTCCCGAAATATTACTTTAGTCTATGAACGTCTTGAAAACAACCCCAGAATCAGACAGCAAAAGTACTTTGTACGAATAACCAGCCCCGCATATCTTCCAAGCATCTACAACTTGACTTCCACGATAGGATATTCCAAGCCAAGCGCAACAAGAGAAAGAACACAAAACAAAACACCGAAACACAAAACAACCCCAAGCCATGCTACCAAATAGCCAAATCCCAATCGTGGACTCCCACATCCACCTCTTCCCAGAAACGCACCTAAAGACCCTATCCTGGCACAATACCAACAACCCACTCGGCACACAACACAGCGTAAACGAATATCGACACGCAGTAACACAAGCCAACGCCACACCCGCCCTCCGAGGCTTCATATTCCTAGAAACAGACCGACTATCCTCCATCACCGACTCAACCAAGCCACCCAACAACGGCTGGCAACACGCCCTGGATGAAGTCTCCCTCCTAACCCGCATAGCCCTCGGCACACCAATCCCAGGCGAGGGCCACGTCCCGCACGACAAAACGCTCTGTCTGGGGATTGTGCCGTGGGCGCCTGTGCCCGGCGGACCGGATGTGCTGAGCGCGTACATGGAGCAGGTCCGCCGCCGCACTGGGGAGGAGGTTTGGGGGAAGGTTAGGGGAGTTCGGTATTTGGTGCAGGATAAGGCTGAGGGGATGATGCTGGAGAACGGGTTTGTTGCTGGGTTGAGGTGGTTGGGGAGGGAAGGGTTTGTTTTTGATCTTGGGGTTGATGCTAGGTCTGGTGGGTTGGGACAGTTGAGGGAGGCGGTTGAGATGATGGGGTTGGTTTATGGGGGGTTGGAGGGGGGTGATGGGGTTACGATTGTTATTAGTAGGTTTCTTTTTCTCGGTTGGGATTCTTCTTGCTGACTGCTATAGACCATTTGTGCAAGCCTAACCTTCGTTTGGAGTCGGATGATATTCGCTCTCATCCGGAGTTCCTTGAGTGGAAGGATCTTGTGACTGAGATGGCGAGGGCGAGTTCTAGGACTTATATGAAGCTTTCTGGGGCTTTTTCGGAGCTTCTACCGCTACAGGCGGAGTCAGAACCGGATTTCGAGGCAATTGTTGAACGTGTGCAGCCGTGGACGGATGTTATTTTTGACGCTTTCGGGGCCGATCGTGTTATGTTTGGATCGGATTGGCCGGTGTGCAATATTGGCGGTGGTGGGAATGATGTCTCTTGGGGTCGATGGAGACGTGTGGTGGAAAAGGTCTTGGAACGGCGAGGATTATCGGGGGAACAAAAGAGAGGTGTATGGGGATCTGTTGCTTTGCATGCCTATGGTATAGAGATCTAGGTATAAAATATGAAATGCAAAGCCATTTGCTCGGACTTCCAAGAAAAATAAACAACTATATATATCCTCATTGCAGGTTAACAAATAACCCACCATCAACCAGTAGCTGCGCACCAGTCACATAGCCACTCAATTCCTCACAAGCCAAGAAAACAGCGGGCCCAGCCAAATCCCGTGGTTGACCCAGTCTGCCCAGCGGAATTCGACCTTCCATATAACTCCGCTTAACAGGGTCCTTCATATCCTCCTCATTAAGCTGCGTCCGGATAGTCCCCGGCAGCAGCGCATTACACCGAATGCCGTACTTACCGAGCGCACACGCACATGACTGCATAAGACTCAACACGCCGGCCTTGGTGGGGGTGTAATGTGTCTGCTGGGCACCGCCGACCAGAGCGGAGATGGAGCTCACGCCGATGATGGACCCGCCCGATGGTGACTGGGCCAGTGCCATTTGGCGGGCTGCAGCTTGGGTGGCGTAGAATGCGCCAGAGAGGTTCGTGGAGAGTGTGTGGTTCAAGAGGGAAGGTTCGAGTCTAGCGGGGTCGTTAGAGAGGAGAAGAAGAGTGAATTGTAAATCGATAAATCTCACTCTAGGAATTCAGCGAACCGACACACGCCTGCATTGCTCACGAATACATCTAGCCGACCGAATGCCTCGACGGTTTTTGCGACAAAGTTCTGGCCTGTCTCTGGCTGCGAAATGTCGCCGGATACCGTGAGGAAGCGGGTCTTGGCTGCTTCGGCTTCGATCTCGTTCACGTCTTTGCGTAGTGCTTCTAGCAGCGCGTCTTCTTTTGCGCCGCCGAGGTGGCTGATGGAGACTTTGGCTCCGTGACGGATGTAATCAAGAGCGATTGCCTGTAATTGAGTTAGTGTGTTTTTCTTGTTTTCCTGAATCCAAATGAGAAATCATACCCGTCCGATGCCTGTGAGGCCACCAGTGATGGCGGCGACTTTGCCAACTAGTAATTGTGGGAAAGTCATTGAAGATGTTGAGAATGGACATTGATCATTCACAACTCTCCCAATTCTCCCATTCTCACTTGGGCCGAATACGTGATTTCTCGAGCTCGGGATTTCGTGGTGATGTTACCCCGAGTGTGGGGAAACCCCGCAGTGTATCCGGCTACGAAGTACATTTCCTCTTTCCAGTAGAATAATGACTAGCTAGCAAGTGTCGAAAGCATTATCGACCCTTGGCCCTTGGAAGCTTCCTTGTTACGATTTATACAGGAAGATTTGGAGTTTTGACATGAAACGAAAGAGTTCAACTCGGCTCGTTCTCGCTTGTGTATCGCAACGCGAAAAACACAGAAAATCCTGTACAATATAATGATAATAAGTATAGGAAGGGACATGAGATGGGATTTCAAGGATCCTAAACTCCGATGTGTATGTACATGGCTCTCGTATAGTGTGTAAGTAACTTATAAACATGAAATATATCACAAAGAAAAGAAGCGAAGAAACCCCTCAAACCATCAATATTACGTAGAGCCATTGGCCAACTCCTCGTTGTCGGGTGCGCGTAGGGACTTCTGAGGCGCTGGCGTAAGGATAGCGGCAGCAGGGATCAGGGGAGCAGCAGGATTGAGCTCCAGACCAAACCCGGGCTTGTCCAAGATCGAGACGTCAAGATATCCCTTAGTAGGAATGGGCTCGTTCAAGAAAAGGTTACCAAACACAGGCTCGACAGTGTGGCCATCGGCAGAGTTGGCAAGGTACTCCTGGAAGGGGCTATTGGACTGGGAGACGACAAAGTGGTACGAGTAGGGACCAGATGCGTGGGGCACAACAGGAAGATCGTAAGCAGCAGCCATGGCAGCGACCTTCAGCAGCTCGGTCATTCCACCAACCCACATCACATCGGGCTGGAGGATGTCAACGTTGCGGCCCTCAATCAGCTTGCGGAAGCCGTAGCGGGAGTACTCGTGCTCGCCGGTGGTAAACTTGACAGTGGGGTGGGCACGCTTGAGAAGCGCGTGGCCGTCGAAGTCATCGGGTGAAAGACACTCCTCCCACCAGTCAATATCGAGTCCAATAGCCTCGCAGCGCTTGACTAGCTGGATTGTGTAGGGGACGTTCAAGGACATGTAGCAGTCCACGCGGAGTGGGAAGTCGGCACCAACTTTCTCGCGCTGCTGACGCAGGTATTCAACGTTCTTCAAAAGGCCCTCAGTACCCTCGTCAGGACCGTGTGGCAATGCCACCTTGGCGCCGATGAACCCGGCAGCCTTTGCGGAGCCAGGTTGGGGACCGGTGCAGTAAAAGTCCAGTCGGGTTCGAGTAGCACCCCCAATCAGCTTGTAGACGGGCTCTTTGCGGATCTTGCCCTGCAAATCCCACAGAGCCAGGTCAATGACCGAGATCACGGCGACGGGCAGACCCTTGCGGCCGTAGAACATCGAGGCGCGGTACATCTTCTCAAAGAGGTCGTTGGTGTCGCGGGGGTCTATTAGAAATATAGTTCGTCAGAAAGATCCATTGTTATATGTATGTGAGATGGTGTACATACCCGCGCCAACCAGGAAGCGGTTAAAATGTTGCTGGGTCAGCCAGCATGCAGGCGGGCCTCCGAAACCAGTTGCAAAGCCCTTGGTTCCATCAGTGGCCTCAATCTCCACACAGAAAGATCCTAAAACATTGATTCCCCATGATGTTCGCGAACCACGGAATTGTGCCCACTTGCTCATAGGGGTAGCGATATTGCTGTCGACCAGCCAGTGGCCTCCCTTGACCTGTATTGATAGTTAGAATGTTAAATTTCAAAACAATTGACATCTCAGAGCTCGTACATTGTGGTAATCACCGCCAGAGCCAACACCATCAATGATGAAGGTGCGGACTTCCTTAATGCGGGGAAATTCCGTTGTTGAACCCATGACGTATGAAATGAACAAGTCTAACGAAAGAACCCAATAATTGTTTAGACGAAAAGATAAAGAAAGAAAAGCAGAGATCCAACAATTGCGGGGGGGTTCACGTCTATTTCAACGAATTCCAGAAGCCGAGGCCAGCTCGGGGCATTGCTAACCCGAGAGACGGACAAACGGCGACTCGGACAATTTTGTGACAACACATGTTTGGTTGATTTATGTCAGGCTATGTGGAGTGGATAAAAATGCTCTTGAGGTCCTACTTCTTGAAGTTCCCGTCTAACCATTGTGTCAACGACAGAAAACAGCTTGATCTCCGAGCCTTGCGTCCTTCAAAGCCCGTATGGCTCTTCAAAATCATTGTAAGAATCTGGAGATCTAGAAATATGTCGCTGCGGCCGCTATTGGTAGGTAGTTGACCTGAGTGCCATAGGCCTCACGGGATGATCTAAATCATTCAAGGGCGTAGTTTTAAGACGTCGTTGTAACAGACTGTAGGTCCTTAAGCAGTCTACTCGGAGCTGGCGGATTTCTAAAGTAGTATGCTGACAATATTGGTAGTAAGTGTCATGAAGAGATAGTAGCTGTCGATATTCAATTGGATGAAATTCGCTTGATATGTACGTAGCGAGGGTATAGGATTCGGAGCCACTTTTATGTTGTATGTCTGTATAATGCCCGGTTAAGCTAATGAATAAGATCGAAGGCAAAAGTACCAACGCCCATTTAGATACAGAGCTCACGGGTTGTTTTAAGCAATAGCTATATGGTAAACTAGTGACTATGGTAGTAAGACTTGCAACTCTCCTTGACTAGGGATTTCGGTTGAACTCTTTACGCACTCCCCTTTTCCAGTATAAAAAATGGGAAGATACGGTTACAAATAAGATCAGCTATTATTTACTAGATCCTATTCAAATATCAAAGAGATATAAGTCGAAGACTCGAGCCAAGAGGACACCAAAAGCGGAGAATGCGGGGTGCCCCGGTTTCTGCCTGAGGCCTTGGCTCCACGAGCCGACCATTTCGGTTTCTTTCCCTTTCCCTCGGGTTGGATGCTAACTATCGTGGAGAACATTGCAAGGCTCCCTTGATTTTAAAATATACCAAGATATTCGAGTCTATTCCAGTCTATTCGGACAGCTTGCCGTGAATCGGTCTTGCATCATGCTCGGTCCCTGATAGGGCGAATTGTTATCTCGCTAAATCAAAATGCCGAACACTGCGTTTCCCGCACAGGAGACACTGTCCTCCAATCAGCAACTCGGTGACCCATCCCGAGATCAGAGTGCAGAGTATTCTTCGGATTCTGATAATGATCATGTTGAACTCAATGGCTCTACAAGAGCCTTGAAGCGAAAACGCCCCCTCACTGTCTCGTGCGTACCTGGCGGCTCGTTCGTATGGAACGTAACCCCGACTAACCCTACCTAGATGTGAACTGTGCAAGCAGCGAAAGGTTAAATGCGGTATGGTGTAAAAACATCCTAAACGGATATTTTGTTTCTAACATCGACAAACCTAGACCGAGTACAACCGAGCTGTGGCTGGTGTACCCGAAATGGCCAGCTATGTGAATATAGGGAACGAAAGAAGCCGGGGCTGAGAGCTGGCTATGGAAAGGAGTTAGAGCAACGGCTTGGTAAGTTGCTGTACAGTCTGCTCGTCATCTGTCTCATGTCTCACTCGTACCTCAGATCGATTGGAAGGTATTATCCAATCGCAAGCTCGGCTTATCGAGATGCATATTCTGCAAAGCCAGCCTTCAATGGGTCACGAATTAGCCCATGCAGGGCATCTCTCATATAGCCCTTCATCCGAACCGTCGGCAGTCCACGGACCCAGTCCTAGTACTGCTCTTTACTTCAACGACCCTGGGTCTGCTGCTACTATACTCTCACGCCGTGCGGATGTCTCTATCAATAGTCCATCGGATGGCTCTGTGAGGAATACCTCACATAATAATCTGCAACACGACTTGTCAACGGCACCAGTTGGCCAGTTGGTACATAACGAAAACGCACATCACGATTATTCAGGAAACGAATCGTCCCTGAAGGTCCCCGTCAATGTATACTCAAATCAAGAGCAATCTCTTACTGATCCTGATCTAGATCTGCCACCATATGATTTGCTCTATGCTTTGGTAGATCTCTATTTCGAACATATCAATTCCTGGTGCCCAATCCTCCACCGACGAACAACTCTGGATACCTTTTTTGGCCCATCGCCACTAGAGGAGGCAGACCGAATGGTGCTGTATGCAATTGTGGCAACAACTCTGCGTTTTTCCTCTGATAACAGGCTAAATGACCAGAACAGAAAGCGCTATCATGACTCATCCAAACAAAAGGTCGTCCTGTATGGCCTGGAAAATTCTTCCGTCAGGGCACTTCAGGCACTCGTGATTCTAGCTCTTGATTTGGTTGGGTCTTCTAATGGCCCACCGGGTTGGAAGCTCCTTGCCTTGATCACCCGATCTGTAGTTCACCTAGGGTTGGCGGTGGAATCAAAGTCTTCTCTTATCAACCCCCTCTATCCCTCAATCTATACTCTGAGAGCTGTCACTCTTTCGGAGCCAGAATCTTGGATTGAAGATGAGAGTAGACGTCGTTTATTCTGGATGGTCTACCTACTAGATCGATATTCCACCCTGGCGACTGCGTTCAATTTCGCCTTGGATGACAGAGATATCGACCGCAAACTTCCTTGCAAGGACGATTATTTTATGAAGAACCAGCCAGTTGAGACGCGGTGGTTCCAATGCTCCAGCGACCGTGTAGACTATCTCAGTAAAGCTGAAAACGTTGGGTCTTTCGGTCTCTATATCGAAATCTTAGGTATCCTCTCGCGGATTCACCTGTTTTTGAAACGGCCCGTCGATATCGGAGCTCTGTCGGATGTCGCGGAATGGCAGGCTACCTATCGCAAACTCGACAGTGACCTCACATCGTGGGAGTTCAATCTCCCAGCGGAATATGCTTACGAAAGTTCGTCCCGACTCTTCAGTGGGCCCAAGAATGGCCGGGCTCTGCATAACGATTGGGTGCAATTACATGCAACCTACCAAACGTGAGTGGGTCACATCTTTATCGTTTTGTTCTAATAAATTAATGAAGCAATTAATCTAGAGCCGTGATTCGTCTGCACTCCTCAGCAGCATACCCGACAACCCGATCTCCAATCTTCACGCCCTCATATAGTGCCAGCCAGCGATGCCTTCTAGCCGTCGAAAACATTCTATCGGTGACAAGATTCGTTGTAGAGCACAACATGCTAGACAAGATGGGCCCGCCTTTCGCCTTCACTCTCTGGGTCTCAGCACGCCTACTCCTCGTCCACGGCTCAACCATTGCGCATACCGTCAGCCCCGACATCATGTTTTTCGTGGATACCCTATTTCAGCTAGGAAGATACTGGAGAGTCGCCGAGCGATACAGCAGCATCCTTCAGCGCGTCCTGGACGAGTACAACGAGTATCAGCAATCCATCGCCATAGACGGAGAACGATCCACACCATCAACAGTCAAGATTCTCGCCGATATGCGTCGCTGTGCATTCGACCTGGACTTTTTGATCTCGCGGCAGCCACGTGAATCACCCGCCGACAATGGCATCGGTGAGAGCCACCAGCCCGGGCCACCACTCCTGACAATGCCCGCACGAAACTTCGCCCCCAACGAACTCGAGTACCTCGACGTTTTTGGTTTCTTTAATGTTCCTCGTGTTCCTCCTGCACGACCTCCTGACTTATCTACTTCTGCCTCTTCTCATTTGGAAATCCCAGGGTCTGTACCAAATCCGATGTCGATTCATGGGTTGACAGACGCTGGCCCCGCACCTCCGACTGGGTCAGTAGATGATGCTGGCCATCACTCTAATGTGAACGAATTCAACATCACCAACTACTTGATTCCGACGCCGGAGACAGATTGGCTGTTTCGGCCATCCTAGAGGTAGTGCGCCATTTTCAGTCGCTTCTTGCCTAGAGGACCGACCAAAATCTTCCTCCACATTTTTCCACTCTTTGCTCTTAAGCACTATGTTGTATACTACCCAGGTTATACTAGGAATACCCTTACCAATATGCCTTCCATGTGATCACAGACCCATTTAAAGTGGCCCACTTAAAATAACCTTATTCTAAAGAGACTTTAGCACAACCTTGGAACACACTACGGTGTCCGCGGGTAGTTATACAAGCCAAAGCGAGAACCGAAAGCAAAGATGATAGTTCCATTAGAAGTGTTAACTCCTACAAATAACATAACATACATGAAAGAAGAAGAGACCAAGACCTCAAGAAACAAAGAAAGGCAATGGGATGAGTGAAAGCATGCAAAGTCCAGGGCCTACAAACTTCATCGAGAACACTCATTTTTACTCAAACAAATTTCAAACGTGTCTATGACACGTCGGTACGGGCTTGCATCCGGGCGAGGACCTCTTCGAGGAACACGTCGAGAACAGTATCAACACCACCGCCCATGTCAACAGGTCTTTCCATATCCCAGTGTTGGAGGCTGTTGAAAGCTCGGGCAATGTCTTCGGCCACCTTTTCCAGACCATGGTGGATTCGGACACTGCGGTCGAAGTCCTTCTCTTCTTCTGGGGTAGCCGGGGGTTCGTTAGGATTGCGTCCGGGTTCGAGACGGACGAGATTGTTGCGACGCCGATCCATGGCTGCGCGGAGGGCCGGAAGAATCACAGTTCCACAGGCGGTCGGTCGCTCGGTCTCAGGGGGAGGTCGGGTGGAACGCTTGTGGTCGCTAGAGGTAGGAGTGGGAGGGGTGGAGCGATGGGGCATAGCACGGTCATCCATGTTTGCTGGTGCGCGCTTCGACTTGAGTCCGGAAACTGGTTTTGCGTGTTGCAGTGGCTCTGTATGTCTTGGAAGAGCGACTTGAGGGATACGTGGAGACTGTGGCTGGTGTCCCACAGAATCAGCAACAGCGCGAGAAAGTGGAGCTGGCGTGTGCAAAATTTGACCAGATGCGATGCGATTTTGGTCGTGGGGGGGAATTCTGGAGAATTGCTTAACAGGAGTGCCCTGGTTACTGACCGCGGAGCTAGGTTTGGCTGAAGAAGCAGTATCCAATTTGCCGGCGGAGTGAGTAGCTGCCTGTGCGTATTGTTCGTTTAATCCTCTCGTGGGAAGATTGTCTACTGCAGGTTTGCTGGCCACTGGAGACACGACCTTGCGTGGAGGAAGTGCGGTCTGTGAGGAGCGTTGCTTGAGAGGGGAAGATGGAGCAGAGGGAGGAAGTGGGGTTTTGGTGGGAGAAACATTGAAAGCAGGGTTTGCTGGGGACACTTGAGCGTGTGATTGGGGTTGGGATGTTCCGGCTTGTCGGGGTGTCTCTTCGCACAGATCCCACTCTTCTGTCTCAGTTCGCGTATTGGTGCCAGAGCGCGACGGGGGTGCAGATGTTTTTCCCACAGGACGAACGGTCCCAAAATCCCAAAGGTCTTCCTTTTCTTGGGTTCTGGCTTTTGCGGTTTGGTCGGCTTCTCTATCATCATACTCATCATATTCGTCCTCGTCGTCTTGACCCCGATGAGTTATTTGCCAACGTTCTGCCCGCTCAATGAGTTCCGTCAGGTAGGTTGTTCTTTTGGCGCGCTTCACAAACGGATGCTCAAGAAGCTCCTTGGCCGATGGTCGCTCCTTAGGGTCTCGGCGCAAGCACAATTCAACAAATTGCTTGAACGGCTTACTAAAATCGCCTACCAATGTGGGGGGCGGGTTCTTGGGAATCAAGAACAGCACTTTCATCGGGTGAATGTCGGCGTACGGAGGATCACCGCAGGCCAGTTCAATTGCCGTGATACCCAGGGACCAAATATCGGCCTTGTAATCGTATCCAGATTGCTTGATGACTTCGGGAGCCATCCAAAATGGTGTACCTACAAAGGTATTCTTCTTAGTCATTGTTGCCGACAGTTGTCCCGACACGCCAAAGTCCGCCAATTTAACTTGACCACTCGCGCTGAGAAGAACGTTGGCAGCTGCAATCAGAAGTGTTAGTCGTCGCACGTCGCCATTTCGAGCAATTGAGGTCTTCGTACCTTTGATATCTCGGTGTAGCTTCTGGTCACTGTGGAGATAGTCCAGCCCGCGCAGAAGCTCCCTCAGAATAATGGCAATGTACTCCTCGTGGATAACACCAGGTCGCAGTAGACCGTGGCAACTACCACCAGCGCAGAACTCCATGATGATCCACAGGTTAGACCCTTTCAAGTATGAGCCGTGATACTTGGTGACATATGGTGACTTCAGCTCGGACAAGATGGCAATCTCCTTGATGATATCGTCGACATCATCCTCGGCATTTTCAACGTCAATGATCTTGATAGCGACTGATTCTCCAGTGCGTCTATCCAAACTAATTGTCCGAATTGGGTCAGCTGTTTGTTGAACCAATATGTGGATATAGAAGGCCGACTTACCCTTTGAACACCTTACCGAAGCTTCCACCGCCTGTAAAATCACGAGGCTGTTAGCAAACATATGAATCCAACGACCCTTGAAGGCTCAAGAATTGAAAAACGTACCGATGCAAGCTTGCTTGGTGTAAATGGTTTCCGGATCAATTGGAGGCGGCATTTTGGCGATTTATCCCAGTCACCGGAGGATGACGATGGACATGAATTATGCTTGAAGCTATCGAGGCTAATGATGGAATGTCAGATTCACAACCGGCAGTCGCCTATCACAAGGATGGAGTGTGGGGTTGAGCCGTACGTGACGGTGCTTGAAAATGGACTCGGATGGCTGTCTGGGGTGAAAGAATGTCGCTATCCGATCAATCTGAATCGATTAGATAAGATCTATGCAATATCTTTCCAGGTCGCAAGATTCTAGGACTGCACGGGAGAGAAGGAAGAGAAGAGAAGACGTTGTTCGTTTGGGTGCTAACAATTGATAAGATGTCAACTGGTAAACAAAGACAATTTTTCAATAGGAGCAGGTGCGGCGAGGGGGGTGATCGTAAGATTCCAAACCGTTTGTGGCATAGTCTTCACGTTGCGATTAGCTCGTCTCACTCCCCGGGCTTCTCAGGGATATCTATGTCGTGAGCTGCCCTTGCTTGTTTATCGACGCGGGGGGCTTATTTTGCCGCTGCTTATCTGGGGGCGGTGTATCTATGGCGTTCCAAGTCCAGTTACAACATTTGAATATTGTGCAATCATCTGAGACTTGGGTTTCAGGCTTGGAGGGCATCAAATTATTAATCGGACTCGATTTTGAGACTTGCGATGAAAACCCACCTATGTGTTCACTTTTCCCCAGAAGTTCCACCATTCCAACTTCTAATTCATCCCCACAAACGGGAATTCGGATGGGGGCATATCGGGACCCGAATATCTAGTATAAGAGTGAATTGCATAAATTAGAGGTGCTTTACAGACACAAAGGCGAACTATGTGAAGCTAGCTATGTTCTGGGGTTGTATAGCTCAGAGGTTTCTATGTTATACAACGTATGAATATAGTATGATGGATTATATAGATCGAAAGACTTCAGCATGTAAGAATCCTCGTCTTTCATCCCAATATCATCTGGTTTGAAAGGAGTGATTAAACTATGTAAACTAGGGCACAGGAAGCACCCGTGACACAATCCAAACAGTTCCTTATTAGGAACATCAAACCTGTAGGTTTGACTGCATTTCTCATAGGCTAGGCTCATTCTATGACCGTAACTATATAAAAGTACGTCCCATGTCTTCCAAGCGAAATGTTCCTTGATCCTTAAGTCTGTCAAGTTGGTACTGTGTTTATTATCATGATTCATTGAATGCTTTCCAGGCAAGCTTGGATACTACGTATACTCTCACATCAAGGTCTCAAGGTTGGCAACAACTTGAGAGCCCGGTAGATTGAATGATATCCCGAGGAATTACAAAACCAAGCTTGAAAACAAAGGTGAGATCCCACGGGATCCAATTCATTTCCATCAACGCCGTGCATAAACCAGGATGATAAAACCGAAAGTTCAAGAAAGCAAGAGGATTACTCTTCCAGATATCCAATCATTACCGTGCCATTCTTCAGGCCCGCATCTGCAATGCTCGTGGTAAGTTGATCGATGAGATTGTGCCCCATGCTATTCAGGTCAAACTCGACACCAGCCTTGTCTGCCAAGGGAGGATCAGCCTTAAGCCATTCATAAATTCTCTGAACGGGATCCGACAATGAAAAGCGCCGAATGACTCTGCCAGAGGGGTGTCGAAACTGAATGCGTGTAGTTGTGGCCGGGTCCGCAGCAGGTTCAGTGTGTGGTTGGTCGCTGGGAATGGACGCGAATGGGGAGGCCTCCGCAGCTGGGTCTGGTTCATCCATGGTGACATCTTCGTCGCTGGTAGCCCGGCCCTTGCCCTTAACAGTGTCTGTACTGCGTGTCAAATCATCAGGGTCTTCGAGTGTTTGACCAGCTTCTGCTGCACCCCCAAGACTGTTCCTCATTGCCATTTCCATCATCTCCTCCTCGGTCATAGCATCAATGCTCTTGTCTTTCTTGTCGGATTTGCGCTTAGCGACAGGATTGCGCACATTGTGATTCAAGCTGTAGCGATCGAGGAATTCGTGAAGTTGCATGAGAAAGTCCGCAGGCTTGACCAAAGGCGGTCCAGACCAGACTTTCATTTGTTCACCAGTTCGAGGGTCGACAATAGCAATGTGGGGGTAATTGTCGGAGACGTCGCTTCCCTGGAAGTAATATTGGAGGTAGGAAGACGCACGGGGGTCATCTTTCGAGTACTGCAGGAAAATGAAATGTTCCTTGACAGTATCTTGCACTCCAGAGTCCTTCCACAAATCGCGATTCAGAACCTGACAGTCAAAGACGGATGCGTCCTGGATATTGACAAGCAGCCATTTCTCGGTGTCCTTCCCCTCCTCGCGCGCCACATCCCAAGGCAGTCGGGACATGATCTCAAAGGGAGGGCGGTACATTTCGGCGAGCATATTGGATTTGGACGATACCTCCGATGCGCCCCCAGTTACGGCAGCGAGTTGTTCGCGACGAGATTCATCATCGCCCGTCCATATGGAAGATGACTCTTGCTGGTTGAAGATTCCGGCCCGACCTAAAATAAAGTGTTAGTATAAGTTATTGGAAAATTTGAAAACACAGATAGCACCCACCTGATCTTCCACGAGCTCGTAGTTGGCTGAGAATATTGGCGTGCATGTCTTCGCCACTGTCATAATCCGCCCCGGGCCCCACCAAAGTCTCTGTTGTCCGCGCCAACGGCGCTCTCACCTCATCGTCATTATCTAGGCCACCTGGGCCACCATACATTTGCTCTTGTAGGCGTCGAGCCATAGCCTCATCGTCATCGAGTGTTGGCAGACCGGATTGTTGGGGAGTCTCATCATCAGTGTCCGAGTCAATATTCACCACGTCGGCATCATCTGGGATACCAGACCGATGAGAAGGTTGAGCAGGTTCACCAGTCAAGGGTGCGCCTCCACTTTCAAAGTAAAGCTGCATGGCCTGCTCGATTTGGAACTCAGTTATCTGCAGGTACTGTATAGCCAGCTCCGGCGTGGAGCCGGTAATTTCAGTGAACTGAGCTACCACGTCGTTCTCCATGGTAGGCAGTGTGCTGAATGAGGTTCCTTGATAAAGATCTTAATTTGAGAGAAGAAAGTGAGAAAGAATTGACAATGGATACCCACTGAAAGCTTAGGCGTAGAATGAAATGGGGTAAAGACTCGGAGGGTGATATGTGGGGAGCGAGATTTGGTGCAAACCGCTGCAAACCAGAAGATCACTAGGTCCCACAAAAGAGGTTGTCAGGAATTAAAAAAAAGAGAGATAGAAAAGAAATAGAACGTCCAGCTTCACGACTGAAAGAATTCGGTCATCTCGAATCTAAACGCACATGAGAGGATAATTGACACCTGAGGTGGCCAGTGACGCGGCTGACTAAGTCTTGGAGAAATTGCACCTGTGGCTGCTACACTGGGCCGTAGCTCTACGCGCGACGCGTCCAGCGCGTTGACCAGGTGGTGGAGCTGCCAATTACACTTCCTAACTGGGCTCTGGGACCTTCTTTCCTGACATTCCTCTTTTAGCTCCCACGGAAACTACGTCTATTGTTCCTACCCCGTCGTTTTTATAGTCCAAGTCATGGCAGGAACAGTTCTAGGAAAGCGCACTCGTGGTGTCGCGGACCCAGGTAAGATCGACCATCCCACCTTCCTCTGCTCCTTATCTTCAAGCCCTAACCCGTCTTCTAGCATTGCCGGTGCGAACCGCCAGCAAGCGCCGAACAGTTGCTCCTCGAGCTCACCAACAAGATACCGTTCCAACCTCATTACGACGAACAAGGTCAACTGTAAAGAAAGCTGTCGAACAACCTGACCAAGAAAATGGCGAGAGCAAGACAGCGTCGGAGAATGTTTCTTCTAAACATACCTTGCGCGATGACCAGTTCAAATCTCCGGTCAAGATCAATTCGCATTTCACCGTCTCGAAACCGGTGGAAGGTAAGTTCGAAATTTTTGGGTGTTGCGCCTGAGGCACCGCTGATCGGACATGCAGAAGAAATTACGAAACCTATCGAGTTCGAGTTCAAGACACCTTCGAAATCGCGATTCCGAGATGATTTACCGCAGTCTCCCGTCACCCCTAGACATCGAGTACAGGTCGGAGCAAAGGCAGTAACACCGCGCACCCCCCGCCATGCCGATCTCCCCCCGACCCCTAGGCAGAGTGCCACTCCAAAAATTGTGAACTCGGTGTATTCGCAAGCTAGGCAATTGTTCGCCCGAGGCTCTAACTCGGGTCGCTTAGTGGGACGTGATGCGGAGCGGGAAAAGTTGATATCTTTTATCACAGAAGGAGTGAACTCTCGGAAAGGAGGGTGTCTCTATATTAGCGGTCCGCCAGGAACCGGAAAGAGTGCCATGGTCCAGGAAGTGTGTGGAGATCTCGATCTTTCTAAAGTCAAAGTCTCGCATGTGAATTGCGCAAGCATGCGAATCTCTCGCGATGTCTACAGTAGACTCATCCAGGATTTCTGCGAGGACTCGGATATGTTCAAGAAGAGCGAAGGCGATCGCCTCAAATCTACGTTCATTCCATCCAAGAAAGGGCAAGATATGTTCCTGGTCACTTTGGACGAAATTGACCATCTGCTCAATGGTGATTCAGGGGTTTTGCAGTCGCTTTTCGAGTGGTCATTGCAAAGCAAGTCCAAGCTGATGCTGATCGGCATCGCTAACGCCCTTGATTTGACCGACCGATCTCTCCCACAGTTAAAGGCAAAGAACCTGAAGCCCCGTTTGCTGCCGTTCTTGCCGTACAGTGCTGCATCTATCGCAAACGTCATGACCAATCGTCTTCGCTCATTACTCCCTGCTGGGGCAGAGTCTGACCCAAAGCTTGTCCCCTTTGTTCAACCAGCCGCCATCCAACTTTGCTCCAAGAAAGTAGCCTCACAGACAGGGGATCTCCGCAAGGCCTTTGAGTTGATCAAGCGAGCAATCGACGTCATTGAACAGGAAACATTACAAAAGTTGGACAAGCAAGCTAAGGAGTCCGAGAATGTTTCGATACTAGGAGAGAACACCAATTTGTCATCTCCTGCCAAAGTTGGCGGTGCTCCGAAGCCAACTTCCATGTCAAGCTACACAGTCATCACGGCACCCCGAGCCAGCATCGCCCACATTGCCCGAATCACATCCGCAGCTTTCGGTCAAGGCACTGTTCAGAGACTGCAAAGTTTAAACCTGCAACAAAAAGCCGCTATCTGCTCTCTGATTGCGCTTGAACGCAAACGCCGCCAGTTCGAGGTTCCGAGCACGCCGTCCAAGTCGCGTACATCGGCACCCACTATCAAGCAAGCATTTGATACATATTGTGCGCTGTGCCGCAATGACAACATTTTACACCCCTTGACTGCCACCGAGTTCAAAGACGTTCTCAGCAACTTGGAAACAATGGGCTTGGTTGGAGAATACCAGGGTCGCGGTCGAGGTGGAACTGTTGCAGGTGGCACGGATCTGCGTCGCACACCCTCAAAATCTGGCCATGCTCCTTCGACTCCTCATAAGGCCCTTGACGAGCAAGCTCTTGTCTGCTTTGTTTCCCAGCAGGAAATCGAGAGCCAGATCGTTGGACCTGGCGAAGGAATCCTTCGGCGTCTTCTACGCGGCGAGGGACTATGATTCCCTTCCCTATTTCTTAAGCGCATCCATACAGCATGGCGAACTTTCATTTTTCATTTCCCATTCCCTATAACTGCATAGTCGGGGTCCCATGCGAGGGCATTTTTATCATGTATAACATGCTTGGAGTTTCATTTTGGAGTTGGAAATATCCTTGTCTCATCATCTTTAGCGTCTTTCAATCACGGCTTTCCTTGTTGTCAACTCTCCTTTGTCTTTGCTCTTGTTCAAAGTGAATCATGAGATCTCTACACAAAACCAGATAAAAACACAAATGACTTGATCAATGGAATTGAAACTAAAGAGTTTTCGTAGCCCTAATCGATATTGTCTCACGGATCGACATGAGTAAGTCCCAGGTTAGTCGGCCACTAGGCATGTGATGCTGGTTGGTTGGGCATGACTTTTTGCCAGACTCCACGAGTCATATTATTGTCTTATATACCATCTCTATCGAGCTAAGTAGAAGATATTTTGTTCTAATCGAAACCATATGAGGGCTTTCATGTAAAAAGCCCATGCATGTAATTTTATATAGCACCTGTATAAGATTTATATTTCTAGGAAATAAGAACAAAAGAAATGAATCCCTGTCCTCTCTAGTATATTCTAGAGACAATCTGATGGTGTGTGTCATTCATCATGCAGACAAACAACGAATCAAACAATAAAAAGTACGCCACCTCGCATGAAGACATTACGTATATAAACTATTCAGCTTGGTTTTTGTTCTTTCTGTTCTCACAAGATATCCTGCTATCAGAGACATCGGGCCCTTTGCGAATAACCTTCAGCCTACTTACCAAATCATGGCGGAAATCCAAGCACAGGTAGAAGCCTCTGCTCTCCTGCCTGATAGCCAGCCCAACGACCCTCAGCCGACCAAGGACCCCGCAGAAGACTGTACCGAGAACGGCAGATCTGTTGTACCCTACTTGTTAGAAAATAGTCCAGAGTTCCGAGAACTCAGTGATTTGAGACAGAAGGCTAGTCACACCGAACTCTGATATTATACGTATATGATTCTCATACGTTGTTAACAGGGATGGGAATCCTCCGAAGGCGATCAGTACTTTGCGAAACTTCGTCGAAATGCCGATAAATCCGACAAAAAATCGGCTACCTACTTTTATAAGTTTATGAGAGTAATCGGACGCGAAATTGACAAGGCCACCAATGCCTTCAAAGCCCAACGGGTTGATTCAACCTCACCTGCCATTCTCGACATGTGCATGGCCCCCGGTGCATTCCTCGAAGTTGCCTTGAAAAAGAACCCGGGCTCACACGCTCTGGCTTTCAGCTTGCCTGTCTCCAGTGGAGGCTATAAAAGTGTCCTGGCAAGCGACTTGGATGCCAAGCGGGTATTTCTCGATGTGACAATGCTTGCTGCGGATATGGATATGGATCTGATCCCCGAGGGCCATGAAGATGAGAAATTTTTGCCCCGGCAACTTGAGGAAGGGATGCTTTTCGATTTGGTCATATGTGATGGTCAGGTCTTGAGGCAACATCTACGGCCCCCTTTTCGAGAAACCCGAGAAGCAACGAGACTGATCATCACGCAACTTGCTCTGGGTCTCCAGCACCTTAGACTTGGTGGTACTATGATCGTCCTTCTTCACAGACTTGAGGCTTGGAACACCGTCAATCTCATTTGGATGTTCAGAAAGATCTCGTGGGTTCGGCTTTTCAAGCCAAAGAGCGGTCACGCCAAAAGATCCTCTTTTTACATGGTCGCAACCAACGTTGACAGCCAGAACCCGGAGGCCGTTGAAGCGGTCAAGCGGTGGAAGAGAATATGGCGGATTGCAACGTTTGGCTCGGATGAAGAGTACGGCAAGGTGAACTTGTACGAAGACACATCGGTAGAAACCTTGCTCAAGGACTTTGGGCCGGAACTTGTGAAGTTGGGAAAGACAATTTGGAAGACACAGGCAAATGCGTTGGCTAAAGCACCATTCATGGGGAAGCAGAAACCAGAGTGATCAATAGAAGGAGAAGGGTGACCGAGATGTTATTGATATCACTCATCACAACGATTGACTTGAATTGATTGTTTCTACTAGCCCACTAGCTCTCAGTGTAAAGACAGACTATGTAGCTCTAGACTTGAATCAAACAAGAAGATCATGAAATCCAGATAGGTAACTAGACGAACCTAATCCTACCCTCAAGCAAGATAGAGCATTTGAATATCAGAGCGTCACAAATCCCACGCTGCCAGGAGGATTTTGTTACATTTTGATCCACGGGTGTCTTGTGCTTAAGCAATCCTGTGCACCTGGACAGGCGATGTCGACTCACAGGTTGATATGGCAGGAGCATATGCCTTCTAAACTTTCCCATCTTTCTTGTCGAGCACAAGAGCTTCACCTTTTGACATCTTCACCCTTCGACCTAATCATCACCATGACTGCCTCGATTCTGATCCTCGTTTTCTGCGTACTCTTTGTGCCCGGTTCAATAATTGTTGCCTCATAGTAAGTCATTATTAGCCATCTTATTACGCTTCCTTCGCGGACTATGCTGAGACCTCCCAAAGCATCCTAATTAGCCCGCTTCAAGCAACGACAGACACGGCTCCTCCCACAGTCGTGGACAAACATTGCAGAGAGCAGGTGATTCTGTATCTGCTTGAGAATTCTCCGTAGATAATCAACACTTTCGGATGGCTGGGGATACGGTTCTACCTCGTGTGGCGTCTTGTCAAGTTTTGCGTGGACGATCTTGTGAAACCCCTTGTTATGTCACTTGCCACAACTGCCTACAGGTAACGTTATTTGATTGTCTAAATTTGATCTCGAACCTGCAAAGCTAATTACCGGCATAGAGCTTTCAATCGATTTTGGTTCCGGAATGATGGCCCCCAATGAGGAAGGAGGCAGGCGCCGGCTACTATAACGCCCACTTTGCCAAAGTCTCCCTAGCTCCAACATTCAGCAGATCAAACGTATTATGATGCATCGAGTTTTCTGTATCTATAATGGATAACTGAGGAATGCCTGTATCTTTTGACAAGGAAGAAAGGTAGGAACCTATTTTGTTTCTGTGATACAGTTCCCCGATATTCCTGCAGACATTATGTATAAGGCTTCATGATATGAGATCTAAATTGCCTCACGATATTATCAAGCAGCGAAGAATATCAATGCAACATTTCCCCCCCAAATTCCTCTCACCTCACTATCTCCCCGTCAATTACGACCCCCATACCCCCACGCCCTCTTATCGATAAACCCCACTACGTCTCCGGTATATAAATCCGCTGTTGAGACCCCTGTTATCCCTACCAAACCTATCAAAAATGGATTATTCTCTACAGAATCACGCTTCCTATATCGGCCGACCGGTCTCCGAACTTCCCACCCCTGCTCTTGTCCTGAGTAAGTCGGTGCTGGAGCGGAACACCCAGATCTTGTTGGATGATGTCAAACGATTGGGAATTGAGTTTCGGCCTCATGTCAAGACCCTCAAGGTACAGCTTCTATGCAGTATTAGCTTTTAGGAAATGCACTAATTGCATTGGACCTGCAGTGCATCGAGGTCACCCGCATGATGCTTGGCAACGGTACGCACCGTCGGATCGTCGCATCGACGCTAGCCGAGATCCGGGGGGCGCTGGGTCTTGTAAAGGAAGGCATCCTAGACGAGGTGAGTAACAGTAACTATTTCAAAACCAAAGTGTAGCAGCTAAACCATGACAGTGTCTCTACGGTCTACCCATCTCAGCCAGCGCCTTGCCCTTCCTCGAGACTATAACCAAGTCTCTGAAGATTATTCTGATGGTCGACAGCGAGCAGCAAATAGATCTGCTAGAATCCTACGCCGCCAAATCGTCTTCTCCCGTAGCACCATGGCCCGTCTTCATTAAGATCGACGTTGGCTCCCAGCGCGCGGGAATGGTCACAGACTCACCATCCCTCCCCAGATTAATCCAGCGCATCGAGTCATCGTCGGCAGCGACCGTTTACGGCTTCTACTGCCACGCCGGACACTCCTATGCATGCCGCACAGAGGATGACGCCGCCGCAGTGCTCCAGACCGAAGTCGAAGGCGTAGTGGAAGCCGCCAAGGTGTTGGTAGACGGGAAATCCGATAGACGGATCGTGGTGTCGGTGGGGTCAACACCGACAGCACACGTGGTGAAAAGACTCCAGGGTGCATTGCCCGAGGGGATGGAGTTAGAGTTGCATGCTGGTATGTGATGCGTGACAACTAGCTAGGTGCCATACTACTGCCTGAAACAGAATGACTGACACGGACGCTAGGAAACTACCCCACCAACGACCTTCAGCAAGTAGCGACCTCGCTCGTGGAACCGACACAGCAGGCGGTGCGCATTCTCGCCGATGTCTGCAGCGTGTATCCTGATCGCAACGAGGCGCTCATCAACGCCGGGACCATCGCGCTCTCGAAGGAGACGAGCGAGTTCCCCGGGTTTGCGGTTGTCGTTGATCGGCCCCAGTGGAGTGTTGTGCGGATGGCACAGGAACATGGCATTCTGGGGTGGGCGGAGTCGGATCAGACACGCAGGCTTGTTGCGAAGACGGGGTCGAAGTCTGGTGATGGGGAGAAGGTGGAAGCTGCGTTTGCGGTTGGGGACAAGGTTTTGTTGTATATCCAGCATGCTTGTATCACGGCTGCTATGCATTATGCTTATTATGTTGTTGATGATGAGGATATTGTTAGGGAGACGTGGGTTCCGTGGAAGGGGTGGTGATTGTCGTGGTTTTTAGAGTGTCTTTTTTCGTATATACTTGATTGAGCATCAATAGAATCATGTATCATTATTAATAGAAGGAAATATATCCGTACTCTGACATTTTAATCTGTACTTTATATCTACAAGATCTAAAATAATACATATCGCCCAGTTTAATTAGACCACTTGATATAGTGATAGTAGAGTTGGTGAATAGCATTTACATTGATCGGTACATTTACTCAGATTGAATTGAACATCGGATATACCCTGATCATGAAATGAGCTTGGTGTGAGATGCCAGGTCGTTCGAAGAAAGAGTACATTAAACTTGATCACGAAGAGGAAGAAAGAAGAAGAAAGTTGCAAAGTGGGAAGCAGCCTGTTGATATAGCAAACCTCGAATATCTCGCTTAGCTATATAGCAAACAATCTATGTTGCACACATCAGATAGTCGACGACCAGTAGAGTGATAGAACAGACAATCATGTAACACTTGGCAATATCTGGCACAAATCCAATAAATTCAAGCACCCCAACGCTTCTTCTGAAAGTGATATGTTGAAAGTGTTGAGGACATTCTTGAATAGACATGGCAGAGGTAGAAATAGAACGAATAGAAGAGAAGAGACTGCCAAGATATATCAGAAGGAAGACTACTAAGTATGCCACCGATACTTCGTCATCGCTCACCGCCTTCACGAACTATGCATGTTAACAGATGCTAACCCTATATCAACTTCCATTTATGTCTTTTGATGTCTTTTATACTGGCTTTTTATCTGGTTTTTGTACTACTTGCTATGTGGGTTTCAAATAGAAGATTTATTACTAGTTCAACACCAGAAATACCTACCATGAAGCACACTACTGGTAGAGTATTGCTAATTTAATTTATTGACTTTGAATATGATAGACAAGTTGAAGCAATTTTGTCTCTTTACCTATAACCGGATGACTATAATTCCGCCAGGCAATGATACTTATTCGCCCGTGGAACTACAACACATCGAATATATCCAGAGATATAAAAAAGGTGAGATTATGAAGAAAGATGTAAAGGCATTATGTACAGGAGAAAAGTGAATGGGTATCATGAAACTTGGCTGGAACAAGACCCGGAAAATGTGTGGCCCAACTGTTGTTGCGTGGCCGATTTTCTTTCCGTCGCTGGTATCACGAGGCCCGTCGTTGAGATGGGACCGAATGTGAGAAGTGAACAGGATCAAATCCATGAAGACAAAGAAAGCAATAAATTATGATAGAACGCAAGGCGTTGTAACTGGGAAATGTTTTGAGTTGATCGTGGGGATCGTTAAGTCGTAATGAAGAATGATAATCAAGATAGCTGATTAATCATGTTCAAATTTTTGATATTTTATTGGTTGGAGGACTCAATCGAGGCGGACTCAATCGAGGGGGCCCGAGAAGGGGTGCGGGATGGAATAGGCGAGGGAGCAGGCGACTCGCCGGTGACAAGGTCGTCAGTGGTGAAGCGCGGCAACCGGTCGTGCGTAGAGCCGTGCGTGGACTGATCGGAAGAGGCGGTGGAAGAGCGAGTAGAACTGTTGTCCAATCGCAAGGACTCTATGCGCTCCAGGTCGGCGTAGTCAGGAAGTGGAGAGCCGTTGTAGTCTTCAATGAAGCTGGGGGTACCATCGGGCTTGGTGTAACAAGGAGGGCTGGCGGGAACGTCCTCGTAGATTGGAGGCATTTCCTCGTCCCAGCTAATGCCAAGACCACCACGCTGTGTGACGTGGAGGTGGAACTGCATGCGAAGCACGCGCGCGGCACCGGTTGGAGTGATTAGGCGGGTGTTGCCATTAGGGCAGAACTCCTCGGCCACGATAAGCTCGATGACGAGGTTGTGCTTAACTTCCAGACCGCCAGGGGCCTCCATATCGCAGACGGCATTGGCAGCCGGGTTGATGTTGGCATCGAACTGCATGGTGATCTCACCACCAGCGGTGTCAAAGTCGGTCTTCCAGCCGGTCTTCTCCTCGTTGTGTCCGATGACGCGAGTCTCCTGGTGTAGAACACCTTTGCCTTCACCGCCGATCTTGTGAGCGTGCTTGGGGCACGCAGTGGAGACAATCTTCTGTTGCTCCTCGATGCGCCACATCATCTTTCGAAGACGCCAGCGGGTCTGGGTCTTGTCGCCCTTGTCGACCACGCCGCTCAAGGTCATCTCGACGGGGAAGTGTCCGATAGGGTAAATGACGGAGGGCAGCACAATGCGGCCAGTGAGGTTGGTTGGAGGAAAGATGCGGATAGAGGACTTGTCGGGCCCGGGAAGCAGAGAACGACTGATGTCCAGAGGCAGCTTGAGGTTGTAATCCTCTCCGGTGACGCTCCGTGCATGTGCCAGCAGGAAGTATTCGACCTGGCCCAGCACGCCATTGCACGAGGCAGGAAGGTGGCCGGGGAATAGATAGCTGAATGGGAAGTCGTGGTCCCCGCCATCAAGGTGAAGGTCCTCGGTGATGAAATTCCACTGCGTCAACTCTTCGGTGCGAGTAGCACAGTTGGAGCAGTGATTCGAGACAGGCTTCTTGGTGGTTGTCTTGGAGACGAGACGTACATCAAACTGGCTCAAGATGACTCCACCGGTCAACTCAGCGACTGCAATGCGCAAGCGTCCCGAGAACAATGCGCCGGTAGAGCTGGCAGGTGGACCATAGCAGACCAGTGGTGGCGACTCGATCAGGACATCCAGCTTCGCCGCTGGCGGGTGCGCATCATGGCTGGAGCGCTCCTTGGAACCTCCTGCACGTCCGGAAGTGCGGCGCTTCTCTTTGCTGTGGTCCCGGAGAGGGTGAATGAAATGATCCATTGAGAATGATAGACGGCGTTCGGGAGATCGTGCGCGCTCTGCCTTGTGAGCTGACTTCTTTGTGTGTCCGGGGATCTCATTGACGGAGAGAGTCGAGGAGGAGTTGGAGTGATTGGGAGTTGAGGTGACGGAGGAGTGTAGCGAACTGGCGTTCTTAATCAGGTTGGGGATTAGACGGCCCGGCATATTGGCGACTGGGTTGTAGAGGCTCAATTGGGAGTGGGGTGATAGTTGTATGTTCGTATGTTCAGGAAGCAGTGCGGTGAGGGAATAATTGAGAAGCAGATGAGGCAATCCAACACATAATAGTCCCTGGAAGTATGTAGGAAAAAGATCTGCAGAAGAAAGTCAAGTTGTTAAGTGCGCGACGTGCCGCTTTTGAATGGCAAGAACAATCATGTGCTAATGGACTGAACCCATGGAAAACTAAAAATGAAACCCCAAAACTTGAATTTTCATTCTTTTTCCGTTCTTTTTTTATTTTTCATTGCTGTTTCCACTGGCCAGGTACCGGGGCAGTCAATGAGAAAAAGAAAAAAAAAAGAAAAAAGCCAGCCGGTGGGGCTTGGAATAGCGTCATAGTGGGGTCTGACAGTACGGATACGTGGTAATAACACTTAAAAATACACCGCATTCGTGATTTTACCCCTCCAAGGTCCTATTTTGATGCATTTGTTTGTTATTCTGAGATCATCCTGATCAACCAAGTCGCAATTTTGATGCACTCTCCATCACATCATTTCATCTTATAGTTTCAGGTAGCGGTCTGATGCCGAGACAAAGAGCATGAACTGTCATTGTTAGACGTTTATATTCCCATGGTTGGAATACACCTTAAACCCATGTACAATCGACTTCATAACCATATATCTCGCCCAAAATCTAGCATCGCCTGACTCAACTTCTACCCCACATCTCAAATGATAGTCTCGGTATCATGCTTCGATCAAAGAGAAAAGAACATCAGTAAATTCCAGGCTAGACCCCATCAGGGCAGTCAGAGGGAGCACATGATGCCACGGTTGGCTCCAGCCTTAGCGTAGAACCCGTGGACAACCGTGCGTAATGACTCACGTATCTACGATGTACCGGTTCGGCTAAACCGGTCGGATAGTGATGGCCTACTCGGCTTGGTATACGGAGCACCGAGTACTGATGGTATACTTCCTTTAGCATGTGGGTTGCCCGGGTTCAATCTATAACATACAGCCTCGAAACTTAGCTATGGCGAATGTGACCAATATGACCAATAACAGGAGGGAACCTTGGAGGATACCCCGGCTTTAGATTATCAATCACTTCATAGCCCTCGCGAACTACTAACTATACGACAGAGATGTGATCAGGTGTCTATGTCCTTGACTCCTAGTATGTTGTATCTTACCTTGAAAGTGCCACGACGACACTCCTGCAGGTATATAATGTTTCATCCCTTTCCAATTTCTGAAAATACTCGCCTGTCTATAAATACTCTGAAATCCAGCTATACTAAGCCATCACGTGGCGTGATGGCGTAGAATGACAGTAATAGACTGCGCAGTGGAGAGTGTCCAGACCTGGGTAAATGACGAACAATACCATACACAGCCGTTACCATACCGGTCATGATCTCTTCCAGAAGATCTTCGACTAGCGCTCCCCTAAATAAAATCCATATTTTCCGCTTTGGGACAACCAAACGCGATGGAAAAGGACCCTTTGCGGAGCTCCACCCGGAAAATTTTTCGTTTCCCTTTTCTCCTGTTGACCGCCTGAATGCGACGGAGGGGGTGCAGTCGTCTGATCTATAAAAGTGGACTATAGTTAGGGGCGGGCTTCTCTAGGCCTCGGAGCTACGTATTCCTTCCTCGAGGTCACGCTCGTATCCTGTGCGCCTCTACCCCGCACTGCAAGGATTGCATTTTGCGGGGGTCTGAGCAATTGCGAGATCGAACTCCCTCGACAAGAGCAACAGAAGTGAAGCAATATCAAAATACTGTATCTATCAAACTGCGATTTACAATGATCGTCCAAAACGTTCTAGCCCTTCCACTTGTCAAGATATGCTCCGTGCTCACAAGGTCGCCCCCCTGACGAATCACTATCCCCGCCGCACACACTAATTACCTAACAGCAACAACAGCATCAGGAGTTAACCGCTCACGTCTCACCTATGAGCATCGGGCTCGCGCGCAGGGTGCCCAG